TTGAGTCATATCGGCTTTTGCGCACAAGCTTTGCCTCTTCCTAGAAGCCTTTTTCATGGCACACCTTCTTTTTCCTTCGGTGTATTGCGTTAGAGGGGGCAAGGCTAAGAGAGGCCAGCGGTGATGTTGACCGTTGACCGGACCAGATCGGCGCCGCTGAACTCCCGCTTTATCTCGGGAGCTGAGAGATGTAGCCAAAGCAATGAGACTGTAGGTCTTTTAGGTGTCCGTCAGAAGTGGTCATTACAGAAAAGAGTGATAGCCAGAAGGCAAAGAAACGGGGCGGAAGAAGGATCGTTCTTTTGTCGCGTTGCTTTTGTTTTCTCCTTTGGTCGACTCGACTTCGCCTGGCCTTTCGTTGAGCCAAGGATGGTAGCTGGCCAGTAACGAATAGTGACCCGCTAGATCACTACTGCACTACCATCCCAGAAAAATACCTGATAGGGGAGCGAGCAGTCATCCTTTTTGGTGAGGCGCTACAAGAGCCTTAAAACAACGAACAGCCGGCTGGTCAACCGCACTAGCTAACTTATTTTTGCTAGGTCTCCTTCCAGGATACGGGCGAAGCAAGCCAATGAATAGAAGAAAAGGGCACGCTAAAGAAGCAGCGGGCTATCACAATTGATGCGCAACATTCTCTTCAGTTAGACCGTAACTAACTGCATTAAAATCCGTATAGTGCTGGATAAACGTAAACGTGAGCCCGAGACACGCCAGCTCCACCCTGAGTCAACATTCATGACGACTTCCCTTCGACTATTCCTATTACCATTTGCCCAGCAGCCCATTTAATATTCCCCACTGCTGCCTTTTCAGTCTCAGTCTATTTTATTAAAATAATGTGTCAGTTTTGCGCCGATTACAAATATGAATAATCAGTAACTCCAAAGGTTTTACGGAAGGTTGATCTATCGAACGTAGCAATACAGATGGTAAACTACGACTAAACGATAAAGCGACATCCAAGATAGCTGATAGTTGGTTTTTTCTCAGCTTCGTTTTAATGTATTAGTACTTAGATGGCTATTAAAGTTTATTGCTTCAAAAAAAAAAGTTTAAAAATTAATTAAATTTAGCAAACCAGAGCATTTCTTATCGACCAGCGGTCATTTCTAGTCGAGCGCATCGATGGAAATTAGAGACAGGAAGTAGCAGTGTCCTGCAATTTATAGAAGATCATAGTGATTTCAAGTTTTGTCTAAATTTTTGCGCCTGCACGATGCATGCAATGAAACTTCCAAGGAGCATAGTAGCTGGAAAAAACTTCACTCATGAGCAAATTGAAAGTGGCCATCATTTAAATTCAATTAATTTTTCCTCTCGCTGGCCTCAAGTGTCTCCCGAAGGCATATTTGCTGGAAAAGCTTTCAGCAATAGCTTCAGTAAAGAGAACTTTCTTTTTTTCCTAAAAAAAGAATATGTGGACGAGCCTAAGGCAGCTCGTCGTCAGCTATCGCCGTAAGGTCTAAACCTGTCTCATGTATTTTCGTTAAGTAGTCCTTACATTCTAAATAGTAAAGAATAGGAGCCTCAAAGTCAGAGGGCAATTCAATGCACTTTCAGTAAGCTAACATACAAGGGTGCACAGGTTGTTATAATGCGTCCATATCGCACTCTGATTTATTGCGTACAAATACCCTGTGCCCATCGAATTTGTACGAGGTCGAACAAGCTCCCGACATATCTATATATTCGATCAACCCAATCAATTTCTATAAATATAGCGTTTACTTGCATGAATACGCGTCTGTATACGAGAATCTAATGGATATTAGTACACCTAACGGCAGGTAATGGTTAGCTATTATTTCGCTCTCTGGCTCGTTGCTGCGCACCGATATAATAATCTTGATGAGTATATAGGGCTGTGACGGTTATGGTGGCTAACAATAGCGCTTTTAATACCATCACGGCAATTGCATCATTCACCGTGAGTATAGGCGGCCGACGTTGTTAGCGGAATCCTGTTTGTCAAACGAAGGACTATCGATATACTCTTGCTGCTGTCATCCAGCCGCAACCATCGTTCCCTTCTGCTTTAGCGTCTATAATTAAGTAGCATACCTGTACATCGTATTATGTAGCTGGACCTCTTTTCTTTCTATCGCTAATTTGCAGGTTTCGTTTTGTTCCTGCTATTTCGTTGCGTTGGCCCCTCGCCGATTGCACCTGTTTATTTAGTTGCTAGTCGTGAAGAGGACACCTCAGGCTTCTGCAACAAGCTCGCTTGTTCAGGCCCACTCGTTGACTGTGTCTGCTAGCTGTGTTACGAAAAGGAACCTACTGCTGAATCACTCGGTTGTAGTGGGGCCCGCTTTCTCTATGCTCTTTACTGTGTATGAAGTCCCATCGAAGCCGCTCGTTAGGGAACGCACGGATCTGGCCGCCGAAGGAACAAAATACGTATATCTGCAGCAGTAGCAAAACGGTTTCTTGTATAGGTGATGTCACTACGCGGTCTACGTGTCGTTTTCGTTTGCGCTTGCTAGGCCTGCTCGATTCAGTCTTTTCGGCCTTTTTTCAGGCTCTACTCACTATCCCTATCGCTTATTATCTCTCTCTCGTTCTTGTAGCTTGAAAGTCTGTGCCCGGTAGCCTCTAGTCTACCCTTTCTAAAACAACTGCGGTGGCGACGACGACTCTTGGCCTATCAGGTCCTCTTTCCGTTTTCGTCCCGAAGCCCGTCACTTGCGAGAAGATGTAGACGATGCTGGGTCGCCTATCCGACCGGCTAATAGAGCTACATTATTATATCCGTCACTATTTGCTAGCTCTAGTCTAGCCAAATGGAGACTGTGTCTTCACGCCTCTGTGTAGTTGGCAAAATGTCTCAATACAGCTGTGGTTGTACACCGTTAACCCATCAAAGTTAGAAATTTTCCCTGGAACCTTCTACTACTAATAGAAGTGCAGTGTATGCCATGCATTGTTGTTGCCTCTTAAACAATTTGGCGAATGTAACAAATTTGGGCCATAAAGTAATAACAGCTATCGCTTACGAAATGGTATATGAAAGTTAGAAAAATGCTATCTTCTAACCGGGGAACTATGGTTAGAAGCAAAACTAATTACTATTGTTATATCAGAAAAGTTATCAATTACAATATTAAATATGGCGCAAACGCACCAAATGTACACTGTTTGATATAGTTTTTTTTTTAGGACCTAATGTCGCACAAATCGCGAGGAAAGGAGCAAAGGCCAAACTGGCTTTTCCTAAGGACACGCTAAGTTGACGGTGAGCGAGACAAAAGCACTCATTCGCAAAATATAGCGGTCGTGACTCTGCGTCGCGTGAGCCGTTACACGTCTTCAAAGGATATCGGGCCCCTCAAGCCCTTATTAGTTCTTACCAGCCAGAAGCCCCCCGCTTACTAGGTACTAATTAATGTGTTATTAAAGCCATTACTATTTTTCAAGTAAGTTAATGAGCATTACATGCCTATAAATGCAATATAAAGATCCGATGTTAACAAGTTTCCGAAAGCGTTCCAAGATAACAACTGCAACGACATCTAAAGGCGTCGGCTTTTCTCTATTGATAGAAAATAGATGAAGAAACAATTGAGTTTACTTTGGAAATCCAATCTGAGCAATTTTTGACAACTTTGAGTATTTGTTATCACGCGCACAAATATACAATATTATTCTATGAAGCGCTTTCCGTCTTTAGCTGCCTGTTGCGCAACGAGCACGGGGGGTACTCTGGGATACGCTATTGATGCGTTGTTATATGTAACTGAGCCGAACAAGTTTCTACCAAAGTCTAGATCGTATTTTCAAAACAAAAGTGTTTACAGCATTTCAATTGTATTTTTAAGTGATCTGATTAAGTTTATATGGTTTATCAGTTTGTAGCCGATATGTTCTGCCATTCGTCGGTCTTACAAAAACCTGATATTCTATAATCTGTATCTTGGAGAGGGTGACGCTGTGTAGTACGCTGTACCTTGATGTGTAGTTTATATTGTGGTAGAGACACCGGCAGAAACATTACTGTTAGTTTATATTGCCTGTATGTGCTTTGCAAACGTAAACCTTTATGTTAATATATTGAATCAGCATTGTGTTTCGATCGACTTGAGCACGGAACGATGCTATAAAAAGTGACTAGAAAAATAAAAAAGACACTATATGTGACACATTTTAATGTTAAGAACCTCTTGAAATAGAGCGAGTTTTCTATGAGAAGTTTTTAGGTCAGGTACTATGATATCTTATGAACCTTTCAAATAGGTAGTACATAATTTTTCCATCAAGCAAATTTATCGAACACCATTCACAGAGTTCCCGTCGGTCATTGCCGATTTTTATATGCAGGATTTATTTGTGTGCACATAAAAAGAAGCTAACAGTATTAGGTGTTGGTTAGGGTTAGGATTTTTACTATAGACAAAACACCGAATCACTATTAACGGTCGCTAATCACGCTACTTTGTTTAGCATTAAGCAGATATATTAAACGCTTTCGATGACGATCCGAAGTTCGACACCTGTCGTCCTCCGCGTAACGACGTATCAGCTTAGGCGCTGTTATGGTAGCAGCCGAACTCGAGAAAGCGGGACGAGCTTGCGAAGCCATAATTTCAATAAATATACGATTAAGAAACGATCAGACCGATAGATACCTTAAAGAGGCGAAAAAAAATGACTCAAGTCGACGCAATTGACTGCCAGCAGCAACAGGAGACAACTAAGCTAAGGAGATCATCCTCGAAAACTTTTTATATGCCCAGTAACACTTATCAAACCATCAAGTACCTCCTATCCCAACAATCCTCTCTCATCTCCTATAACAGATGCGCATTTCTGCAATTCGTAGCAAGAAAGCCTTTTCTACTCCGCACGTTAGGCTTGTTTTATTCGTCTAAACCGTTAAAATAATTTAGTTATAAAAGTTTTTTAGCGATACATATGTACGCAAAAAACGTCTTATTTTATACGTATTAATACTATTTCACAGATTAAACGGTTTTTGTAACGTATTTTTAAAATTTCAGGTATTATTCGACTTAAGGATTTTATCAAGGGTGCTCGTCGCGAGGGCTGGAAGATTCAGATGTACCAGTTTGTGCCCAACGAGCCCTACAGAGATCTCTTTTGGAAGATCAAGAAGTCCGAACAGAATAGGGTCGTTCTAGATGTTCATAGAAAAAATCTATACGAATGCCTTAAACATGTGAGTATTATCCACTCCGCTTTATTATCATTAGTATTATTAGCGATATGGTGCACAGGTATTATAGCCTTGTGGCGGCTGAGCCTCATTGGCTGGCACAATATTCTATTGACTATATGGGGTCTCCTGTAAACATATCTGACTAGAACTACACGATCGAAAGACCTTCCTTCTCCATTTAATTAACCCTGAACAACTGAAAGAAACATTTAATGAACCTGTCAAATTGACCGTTGGAAACACCTGCATTTATTAGCTCATTGCGTTGGTCCTACCTGTATTTTTATATAAAAATGATTCTAGATAAAATGATGACGCGGAAAGCAAAGAAAGATCATTTGAGCACATCGAGTTATACAAATGAATGGACCAGTCACTGAGGAGGACTACTATATTCGTTATTGTTGGAATTATTCTAAAACCTTATTGATGTTTTTCATTGGGCTTATTCCTGGTGAGACTCTCTTAGTACGATTCTATGCTCTGCCCACGACGTTCCGTCCTCGTCTTAGACGGCTGCTTTTGGGCTGCTCCTTCATAGGTCTCGATTCGTAAGACAAACAATGAGATACTGGAAGATGAAATTCTGTGAATCTTCGTGATGAGCACTGTTTTTTTTTGTCTGCAACAAAGAATATGGCCAGGCTTCAAATAACACAGAGACACTTGTAATGGGAGACTTACCTGGTATTCAACGGAGATCGGAGGCAGAAAAACTTATCCTTCTGCTAGGATACTTCGGTTCGCCTATTTCTCATCAGCAGATTGGCTTCTTCTGTCAGTACAATTGGAGAGAACCTTTCGAGATTACTTCTCGTAAATAAGCGTTGCTGCTTAAGAGCATATAATTGGCTTATTTAAATTGAATGAAACGGACAACAAATTATTAGAATAGATAGAGGTAATCGGTAACATTCTGCTTGACTACACTAAATATCAATGCAAGCTTTTACAACAGTAATATACATAGTCCCTTTTATTAGACCGTCTATTCAAGGGACGTCAGCTAAGTCGCAGAACAAGGCAGTGCTTATCGGCACGCAGCTAGCATTTTAATCCGTACCTGTTTGACACTGAAGTGTTTAGCAAATCTGTAAAAGTCCCGAGACACCAAGGAAATTTTAAATCTCTATAAACATACAATGTCATGAAGGCTTTAGAGACTCTACCAGTTATTACGTATCAAGCACGACGAGGTATCTAAAGTCAGACTAGTCCAGGTATACGCATTAGAGTTCATTTAAATATGTTTCTCTCAACCACTATTTTGATTTTTATGTGTTTAATTAAACATCACATTTGTTTTTTGCGTTTCCGAAAACACAAGTCAGTGCCGTATGTGGGCTTCCCGTGGGATTGTCTGATGAGCAATTAACAAACGTAGTGTTACTATATTAATGAGTCGCCGTCGCAAGATAAACATAAGGCTAAAGAACAGTCGATGGCGAATCAACGTATCAAGATATACTTTTTACGTGTCATAAGCTTTTCTTATGGTTATAATAAAAATAATAACCGGCAGATTTTTTTACGTCTCATTTCATGAGATTCTGGAGTTGATATTTCTGATAGAAGCAGTTCACATAACTGGATAAGTATTTTTATCTATATTGTATGTTAAACCACAAGAACAAAATCAACTGTCATGTACCGTTTCCGAGAATATTTGTTATGTTGAGCGCAGAGGAAAATCAATGACGCCTAGTGCAGACGTATCACCACAGTTTTTTACAATTGAAATCTGTGCGGTAGCGTTTGTACAAACATATTTATTTCTTATCAGTCTGACCTCGTTCTGAAGTGTGTCCTGGTGATTGAATGCTTAAATGCTAGTTCAAAAGGATAGGCCAACTTCAAGTTGACCATATCGCTACGACTTACACCTCGTCGAACAGCGCCGTAGCCTCTAAGCTACTCTGTTGTCTATAGATGATGCTGACGCAATGAGATTTCGTGTGGATAAGTGGCACTTTTTTGTGCCTACTAAGGTCATTCTTGTAGTAGCACCTTTTGTCATTACTGAAGAAACCGTATATATCATACGCTTTTTTCGCAGTGTTTTCTGGCATTTTCTTCCCGCGAATCACTCTGTGAATTGTGAAGAAATACCTTGCTCTTCATGGTTACCCGCTCTCGTTGCAATTCCACGCGACTCAACTGACTATTGCTCGGGTACCAATTGATAGGGCAATCCTCAGCAAGTTATCTCGGAAAAACACTAAAAGCCTGACAGCCTGTTTCGCAACTTGAGTAATGGCTGTTAAAGCACAGTCGCAAATTATGATAATTACTGATTTTGCCTAGGGGCCTGCATGTATGCAGGGTCTCCTGCTTTATACTAGTTTGTCCCTTTTATCCTGTAGCCAATGCTACTGACTCCCTCACGTTGCTGTGAATTGTCTGTTCGACTTATATATGTCTCCTTTTGATCTCATATACTTCGTCGAAGAAGTACAATAAAAAAAAAAGCTACCGAAGCTCTATTTTCCGATGAGGATCCGGCCCCTTGACCGACAACTACATTGCGCAGTGGACCACTAGGAGATTTGCGCGCTCCGTGCTGCGTTTTTCTGGGCATGTCGGTTCTTGGCTTGCGTCCTCCTGCGACGTCTTACCATATGAACTTTCCAACAATAACATGTGAACAACAAGCTAAAGGCAAAGGTTGACCGCGCCTGGGATTTGAGGGGAGCCTGTGTCAGTGTTCGACCTCTCCTTATGCCGGCTTGGTTTCGTAGCAGGCGGCCACCCATCTCAACGCCACTTCCCATCTCTGTCTTCCATTCCCCTATTGTAAAGAGAGCGATTTGTTTTCCCAACCCCATCCGTTCCATTCCACCCATACACCCACCCCGCAGCTCGCAGGCAGACAAAACCGACAGTGTGTGTGTTGTAACGTTGTGCTCTAAAAATCGTGTTACTCATCGAGTCGTGCACTGCTCCAGTCTCTCGTGTCGTGGTCTCTTCTCTCTGACCCCAAGTGCAGGGCAGAAGCGCTGTGTCGACCCATCCGACTTTCTGGGAACAGACCAGCGTACAACTGGGAATATTTTTCCCCATCCCGAAAAGTCAGTTACACTGAAATGAAGAGCGGACACCAGCCAGGAAGCCATAAGCCTTAGGGTAAAGGACAGTGTCGCAAGGGGTCAAAGGAATTCAAAGAAATAGTGCGTATTAGAAAATATTTCGAGGCTCTGTTGTGCACCGTGCGTACAATCTCTTTTCCTTGCCTCGCCTCTGCCAAATCTTGCTCTTCGTCGCATGCGATAGGCAGAAGCTGTATATGATTTTAAAACTATTTCCGTTTTACGGTTATGTAAGTCTGTGTACTATTAGCAGTGTTATATTGTATGGGGTTTCTCGTGTAAAATAGAACAGTTCTGGCTAGCTACTAAAAAATCCAGTTATATATTGCATGTCACTCAGATTGGCTGTTATATATATATATAGATATGTATGCTACACTCAATAATATAGGTCAGTCAACAAAACATTCAGTAATGGTGTAAACACAAGGTCGCAATTTGGATGTAATAAAGGAAAACTTTTCCAAAACTTAACTTTTCCTGTATATGGGAGAATCACAGCTGCGTCTTATCCTACATTCAGATGTTAATTTGAGAAGCTTACTTTCTAGGATTCTTGACTCTAACATCTGGACCTTAGCTTTATGTATTTTTTTTTGTAGTTTTTCAGCTCATTTTTCGAATTTCAGTAAAATCCATATTATCTAAAGGCAACAAAACGCAAAAAAGGGCAGTCAGTTTTGCAAAAGATAGAATTATCGTTCCTTATCGTCCTCTTATCGGAACATTTCTATTCAGATATATCGAAATATGTTCAATCTTGCTCATTCTGCTACAAGGTTTTGTCTCGCTTAATGTTGAGCGACAGGGACCATTGAATGACTCCGAAGGGGAACGATGAATAAAGATGGAAGTTGGCAGAGCAAGTGATAAGGGGTTTTCTTTTTTTGCGTGTTTGGACGTTCTCTGCTTAAAATGTGGCGGGAGACACCAGAGAACCTCATTTTTTGCTTGTGTTTTACTGCCCTCTCACTTTACGTGTGAGTCTGTCGTCCGTTTGCCGAAAGAAGCGAACGAATAAGGTCGTCCATATGGAGGAGAGTCCAAGGGCAACATGGAGGTAGGCAATGAGCAAAACGGACTCGTGGTCCACTCAAAAATAGCGCGGCTCTGATGACCGCCTGATGCCAATGTAGAATGGAAGAAACATTAAGGCGGCCACGTTTGAACAGCTCGAGCGGCGGTAGCAGCAAGGCCATCACCAATGGTAGAAAACTAGACAAGCACAAAGATAAACGATGTTGAGGCGAACAGGCAGTTGGGCAGCGAGAAAAAAAAGCGGCAGCGTTCATGTCGTCGAACCATTCGGTCGATTTGGCAACGATTATACTGGGCCGCAAATGATGCCGGACCTGTCCCCCGCTTGTCATTCCGTATGAAGACAACGTTGGAAGAGTGAGCCAGAGATCGAAGGAGACATAGCGGAAGGAGATGAGGAAACCGTATTATATATATTTACACATATATACACATGACTAGGTATTTCATTTCAGTAATAAAAATAGAAAAGTACTACAGTCAGGCCCTCTTATAGTAGCTTCTACCCAGCCAGCCATACCGACAATCGGGACTGAGGAAAAGATTCATTTTTGCCGTTTCTGTATGTCTGTGCCTATGCGTTATGTAAATATCAAGAATCTCGAACCTTAATAAAAACAAACGAAAGAACGAATTGTACCAATACTACAAAGTAATGTAATAACCTTTTTTGATTTATACGGGTTGTGTAGTTTAAGTCGTTGGCAAGACGCACGAATATGCATATATATATATATATATATATATATGTATATATATGCATATATATATGTACCTGTTCGATGGACCTGGCATTGTACGCCAGTGACGTGTAGACAAGTGAATTAAAACTGATATAAGAGATGACGTAGCACGCTGCATTCTATAACAAAACGG